GAAACCCTTAAGGCCATTCAGCAGGTGAAAATTGGCAAGGCAGCTGGGGTTGATGGAATTCCAGCTGAAGTCTGGAAACATGGGGGCCTTGCACTCCATGCTAAATTTCACGAGTTCGTACTATGCTGTTGGGAACTAGGCAAACTACCATCAGACCTAGGCGGTGCAGTCATCATCACCCTATGTAAGAAGAAAGGAATTAAATCAGACAGTTCAAATTATCATGGTATTACTCTGCTCTCCATTGCTGGCAAAATCCTGGCAAGAATACTCTTGAACAGACTAATACCTGCTATAGCAGAAGGAATTCTACCTGAAAGCCAATGTGGTTTCAGAGCCAACAGGAGTACCACAGACATGGTGTTTGTCCTCAGACAACTGCAAGAGAAGTGTAGGAAACAGAACAAAGGTCTCTATGTAACCTTTGTTGACCTCACCAAGGCTTTCGATACTGTGAGCAGGAAAGGTCTATGGCAGATTTTGGAACGCTTAGGTTGTCCCCCCAAGTTCCTCAAAATGATCATCTCACTCCATGAGGATCAACACGGCCAAGTCAGATATGGCAATGCACTCTCTGAGCCCTTTCTAATAACTAATGGTGTGAAACAAGGCTACGTTCTTGCACCAACTCTATTCACAGTCTTTTTCAGCATGATGCTCTAAAGGGCCATGGCAGACCTCGATGATCAGGACGGTATCTACATTCGATATCGCACTGATGGAAGCCTTTTCAACCTAAGGCGACTGAAGGCCCACACCAAGACCTTAAACCATCTTGTTTGTGAGCTGCTTTATGCTCACACAGAAGCAGCTCTGCAGCGTTTAACATCCTGCTTTGCAGACGCTGCTGAGCTCTTTGGGCTGGAAGTCAGCTTAAAGAAGACAGAAGTCCTCTATCAACCTGCACCTCAGGAAGTCTTCCATCATCCCATATCACCATTGGCGAATCAGTGCTCAAATCAGTCCAGCAGTTTAATAACCTAGGTAGCCTCATCTCCTCAGTCGGTAAGATTGATGGAGAAATAGACAACAGATTAGCAAAGGCATACAGTGCCTTCGGAAAGCTTCATAAAAGAGTTTAGCGAAATAAACACTTAAAGAAAAGTACAGAGATCGGTGTTTACAAAGCCATAGTCCTGTCTACTCTCTTATATGGATCTGAATCATGGGTCATCTACTGTCACCACCTGCGACTCCTAGAACGCTTCCATCAACGCTGCCTTCGTACAATCCTAAATATCCACTGGTCAGATTATGTGACTAATACGTCTGTTCTAGAACAAGCAGCAGTCACAAGTATTGAGGCCATGTTGCTGAGAACACAGCTGCGCTGGGCAGGGCACGTCTCAAGGATGAAGGACCACTGCCTCCCTAAGATCTTGCTTTATGGTGAACTTGCCACCGGAGCCCCGAAGAGAAGATACAGGGACTCCCTGAAACAACATCTCAGCCTTGGCCATATTGATCATCATAACTGGTCTACTCTGGCCTCCAATCGGGAGGTCTGGAGACACACCATCTATAACGCTGCTGATGCCTTTGAGAAAGCACTCAGGATCACTCTTGAGGCGAAAAGACAATGCAGAAAGAATCGTGCCCTGCAGAATTTACCACCTAAGGAGTCTTTCTGCTGTGCCTTTTGCAACCGGATGTCCCTATCTTGTATTGGCCTTTTTAGCCACCAGTGCGCTTGTAGCAAACGTGGATAGAGACCTTTCCCATATCTTTATTCGCGAAGCCTGGCCATGATGATGAATACCAGACTGAAACTAGTATATACTGATTCTCAGCGAGGCTACTCACCATACCTAGAGTACCTGACTGGCCAGGTCACTTTTGGTCCACTTGGAATCAAGGCAGAGCAAGCTGGAGAGGCCTGGGCATGATGTAGCCCAGTACTGTAACTGAGCACACTACAGAAAGGAATCAACTCTACCACCAAAGACAAGAAGGCCACAGTAGGATGTGCACCTCTGGAGATCAAAAATCCAACTACCTATTTAAAGTCATGAAAGAAGAGAATACTTAGCTTACTGTGGAAAAATATTAACATGTTTTCTAGTTTTCATTAAAGGTCCAACTCAGTGGGTTTATCTACTAGGGATCTGTGTAAACGGAATTTGGACAGACTTCTCTTCCTTTGTTATTCAAATATGCAAAGATTGTAAAATATCTCTATTCAATCTTTACTCTTTATGCTCAAATAAAGGTAATCACATAATGGCACAGACATGAATCCTTTTTCTAATGTTCACATCTGTCAGTCAGTGTAATGTTCTGTCTACTTATAAAGGTGTCTGTATCCTAGTATAAATAAGGCTCTGTACAAAAATGCTTTGCATTTATGTGTGTTGGCTTAATTTTTAACATATTGCTCTGTGTTAGTCTTTCTGTCTTTAAAGCAGATTTTTGTCTTTTTATCTACTGTTCTGAGCTCACTGTCTGGTATGTAAAAATTGCCTAAATAAAAGAATTCACATTCCATTTTGCCAATGTACACTGTGTTCAGGCAAATCTTGAAAGGAGGACAAATGAAGTGTTTTTATCAATTGCACAAAAGTTGCTGTTAGTACTGTATGGTAACTATTTTTCAGTGTTTGGTATAATTCGACTATATATTTTATCATTGGTATGAAATATGCATTGTATTTTTTAAAAAGAAAATTTCCCATGTGAACACTGAACATTTTGTAATGTAAAACCACATAAAATATGGTCACCTGATGTGAATACCCTGTATGCTCATGTAGTAGTTAAGTTTGATTGCAGAAATTTGCTAGATGTCACAGAACAGGACTTCCAAAGAGTCATGTCAAAATAAAGGAACAGAAAAGAGAAGCGTGTACTGTACTGTCATGTTGTCAAAAACAACAGTACTGATGTTTTCTGTCTCTATATTGCCCCATGAAATCCTCCCAGAGATAATCGTCTTAATTATATTGATCTCTAGGGAATGCTGATAAAGTTAGATGATAATGAACTGTGAGCTGAGCAGGGGCAGTTGTAAGCCTTGCATGGACTTTTTCCAAATTTGTAAAAATATTGAGAGAACAAAATACAGGTAGCATCATGCTCTCTCTCTAGTAATACCCTCTTTGCTGAGTTTTCTTCCACATCATTATCTGTACATTCCTCAGCATACACATACTTTGTTTTTTCATGAATGCTACAAAAGAATTCTTTACTGAATTCTTCTCTAAGTCATATTTTGTGTGAAAAGGAAATGTTAAAAAACCCTCAGAAGGATAAGGAATAGGGTTTTAGCTAAGTCTAAAGCTGGTTTAGTTCTGTGGATTACTGCAGTCCACAAGGCCTTTTTTTTTTCTTTTTTGCTGGTGTGCTTGATCTACAGGTAGTTTATATCCCACCTCCAGGAATGCCTGCCTAAATCAGAACGTATATATTTTTTGTGCCTTTAATTGTTGGGTTGTTGTATTTTTTTGGGGGTTGGTTTTGGTTTTTTAATGGGGACATTTAATACATAATAAGGCATGATGTCAAATCCTTCAGATTCTTTAAATGGTGGCCAGAAGAACCAATGTTACAGATGCACTCTGTTTGCATTGTAATTTAAGTTTACTGAAGTCTGATAGAACTTTGGCCATGCTCTACAAAACTTTGCAGCTGACTGCTTGGATTACATTTAGCAGCAAATTAAATGAGACAACCTGATAGTATTTGTTTATAAAGTAATGCCAGTGAATCAACATAGGTAGACAATTGCACAGATACACACAAAACACACATCCATAGGATTGTAAATAAACAGATTTCACAGGAACCAATCTAACTCTATTAACTGCCATGTTGTTTCTCCTTATGGACACCTGTGTGAGTGAAAGTTTAAGGATTGTTATGTTTGTTTCAGATAAGAGAAGGCTGAAACATTCACATTTATCTAGTTTGAGTATATTGAACTGGACTCCTTTAATACTGATCATTAAATACAGAAATATTCCAATCTTTTTTTTCCTGTCCCCTCCTGTCTGAAAATACAATGCTTGATGGTATTTGTGTGAAGCGATGTGAAAATACAAGTTTAGCTGATACCTCACGTACAGATTACAATTTCTTATTTTTATGTATGTAGTAATCATCATTAATTTGATGGCAAATACATAGCTGAGTAGAATAAACCATCTTGAGTAGCTGAAATAAAGAGTAAGTATAATGAAGCAGTGGTGTTAATTCTTAATCTGTTGTAAGAGAAATTTGATATGATACACAACCTTATGAAACGCTTCTTTAATATATAATCTGACTTTCTGAACAGAGTTACCTTGCCAGAACTTCTACATTTTCCCTTTACCTTACCCACACTAGAAGGAAGGAATTTTCATTTTTCTTTTATCCTCAGTGACTCTAGAGGCAAAAATTCCTTGATCATCACTGATCCTAGTGCTGTACTTTATGAAAATTATATACAGTTCCAGAACGTGTGTTAGAAAATGACTTTAGGGAATATATTAAACTTGCAAGAATGGCAGGTTCCCAAGTTTAATTTATGGTTTGCAGAAATATGGGATATTCATTGTCGCCCTTTTTCTACTGTTAGAAATTACATGTGTGTGGGTCTGAATTTATCATTTAGTCCATACAGAGGTAAGGTCAACAGTGGATAATCATGTAAAATATAAACCTCAAGCTACTTTTATTTTGAAGCCTCTCAAGCTGGAGCAAATTAACATTACATGATCTTAGATGCTTCCTTTAAATGTGAATTCTAGACAGCAGAATTGATAACAAGGGCTTTCTCATCCTGCCTTTTTCCTCCTCTTTAGATCATGTTGTGTGTGTATGTATGTATGTGCATGTGTGTATTTATGTAAGTTTATATGCCACTGTTCTCAACTATATTATTTCTGGCAGTACTGTGAATGGGTGATTGGACAGAAAAAGAGCCTCTAATAGATTTCAATCCCATCTGCCTGCTGCTCTGTTTTGCACTCAGTCAAGTATTTTTTTAAGCTGATAATTGAAAACCTATCTTGTTCTTACAGAATGGCTTTGCTGTTGTAAGGCCCCCAGGCCATCATGCTGAAGAATCAACAGCCATGTAAGTACCAGGGAATATTGCCCATCTTGGAGCACTAAGGTTACTGGCAATCACCTGCGTTGTGCATGTCTCTGAAGAACTGTAATTGTTAGCAGATGACTGAAAAGGCTTTCCAGGTACTCCCAGAAGCAGATTTATGGCCTCAGAGATCATATAGCATTTTTTAAAATGCTCTGAACATTATTTATAGCTATTTTCCTGACTGATTTGCTTTCTTATTTCTGTTCTTCTCTATTCCACAGGGGGTTCTGCTTTTTTAATTCAATTGCAATTACTGCCAAATACTTGAGAGACAAGCTAAATATAGGCAAGATATTGATTGTAGATCTGGTATGTATTCTTGGCAAGCATCACACTTTCAATGCATCTAGATAAAATATAATGAATTTGTATTTATATGTCAGACTTTCCAGCTTTTAATTCCTACAAGTAATAAAGGTGTGCATTTCCTCTGATTTTGGGAACTCATTAAAGCCAGGATGGCAGTACTGAAGCTATAAACATGTATGTTTCACTTTAATGGTGTTAACTGCAATTTAATGAGAAGAAGGCACAGATCAGGGCAACTTTTATGGTCCTTAAATGAATTGATACTTCCACCGTTAAAATAACTCTACAGAACCCAAGTTTACTTTTCCCTACAGAATACAAACTTTAAATAGTCAGATGTTCTTTAAAGGATGTTGTTGCATTGATAACCAAATTGGCCACTTTGCCCAGCTAGCAATGATTTGACTTGTTGTGTAACTTCAATATTATTACACAAATCAACAGGTTATTCCCTCTAAGACGCTTTCAAGTCATGTATGTCAGGTTTTGATGGTTCCCTGAAGGAAAGCTATGTGATTAAAAAACCACTTCATTGGATTAGTCTTGTACTTTAATAGAAGGCATTCTTACACAATACTTAATATGTTTAACAAATGGATTATTTAAATGTAGATGACATTTGGCATGTTGGCTGTATTATTTTCATGAATAATGAATTGGAGCTCTGCCTTGCACTTAAAGGATCAGCCCAATGCACAGCCCAAGGAAAGCTGAATGCTGATTTATGAGCACCATTTTTGTTTTCCTACAGTTCATGACGAGGTGTAATAGGGTGTCTGACAAAGCATAGACAGGAAATGAACCCTGGCATCAAAACTTAACCTGTTACATCTGCACTTAATTAATTTTTGCAGGTGATAAAAGATTTAAAGACAAAATATGTTAAAGGGTTTTTGAAGTGCAGGGCTTAATAGTCTAAATCTTGTTCATATCTGCACTCATAATTAAATCTTATTGTGGAGTCATGGCCTTACCATCTAGCACTTTTGTTCAGTTAAACATGCGTACTGGCTGTTGAAGAGACGCAGAGAAAGAGGGAGTATGGGAGAAGGAAAGGCAAGTGAAAAATTAGTGGTAGAATAAGTATATGGGTAGATTAAGTATTCTTAGAATGTTTTTCAAATACTTCTCAGATTGGTCTCCTATAATTTATAAACATAATTATAAACTGCAAGAAACTAGTATTTTTGAAAAATTCACTTCTACTATATGTTGTGTCTGTTTGTTGACTTGAATCTTTCAGTTCATTGATGTAAGTGCTGATCAAAAGTAGTGTCTCTTTTTATTCTCATTTTTAATAGGAAAATCCTATTCAAAGTTTGCATTTTGTGGGGGTTTTTTTAAGTCTTTTTGTTTGTAAGTATTAAATTTGCCTTGTCAGGAAAAGAAAACATTTCCCTTTGACATACTTAGGCAGTAAGCACTTAGAAATTCAGCTTCAGCTTTTCAAAGCAAGGTTAGATGTGCAAATCATTACCTGTGCAAATGATTACCTGTGAAGCTGCCTATCCTTGCCCAGGAAAGTACATAGGGAATGCTCAGCCTCTCTCTAACTCTGTCCCATTGGCCAGAATAACTCAGCTGATGAAAAGGAAGAAATATATGGCTGACACTGATTGCTTCGTTCCTGGAGCAGTTGCAGTCCAGTCCCCAGTCTCCTCTATGGTCAGAGTAATGATGTACAAAAATTCATATGGAAGATTTCTTATGCATGCAAACTATGGATAAATCACAGGACAAACTGAATGAATGAACAAGTTAATAGTGATGTCTTTATTCCCACCAACAGAGAACTTAGGGCATCTGAAGGAAAGAATGGAATTACAGATGTTAGACTTGAAATTAACCTTTAAGACTATATTTTGATAGTGACTAGCACAGCAGGATCCCATGCAAGTTGGCAGTTATACATGTTACTACAATATAAATATTAAAAAGTAATATCCAGTCCCACGCACTAAAGTATACTCTAGTTACAAATCAAATGTTGTCTTCATAGCTGTAACATGTTTTCATATATAAATTCTTAACTTTTTAATTATCAATCTTCCCTTCATTTATTTCTACACTAAAATGAAAGACATCTCTGAAATTTTTTTTTCCTTACCCACCACTTGGATAAATCTCTGTTTTTGAACTGACTTACATACCCTGAATACATTTGATCTACTAAGGGCAGATTATGAACTCATTTCCCACATGCTAACATCCGCAGTCTTAAAGAACACATTCCTTTGTCTAACCAGAGAAGTTACTGCTCTTCAAAACCGAGTAACCTTTAGTGGAATTAAGGTTTAGACGAGAAAGATAGGTTTGAGATTTGGATTAAAAAAAAAGAATAAAAAGGAGATAAAGGTGTCTCTATGCCACTTAAGTATTTTTTTCTTCCCATTTGGAAACTGTTATCTAAAGCCCCAGATATGCATGGAAAAGAAAAACTAAAATCACAAAATGAAGTCCTATTGTGTTTTTAGTCATAATCCCTGCAGATTATGTATATGTGCCCAGCACAGCTGCTCAGGTTGCAATCCTCATTCCAAGATCATCCATACTTGTATGCATGTTAGCAGGATTTGAGTCTGTGTTGGAGTAAACCAATCACTTCTGTCACAGCTGAAAACTGAATGGATTTTGAAGGTTAGTCTGCATGCCAAAGTTTACTTCATGTGCCAGTCAGAACCCTCTAACACTACGCTGGCTGCCTTCAAATCTCCAACACCATCACACCAGTGTGTACTCCTTTGCACCTCTAATGTGTTACATTTGCCCTTGGCTGTTGGGCTGTAACTCCATCCTCATGTTGTTTCAAGTACTTTCAACTGAGAAAAGAAGCCATTATAATATTACCCTACAGAAGTCCCAGAGGAGGACCAAGTCAAGCACAATGCAGTACAAGTAAGACTCAATCAATGTAGAGAGTTCTGAACAATGTGGGTGAAAGTCATGGGCTGCATCAGCTGCAAGGAGGACAAGCAATGGTCAGTGCTTGCTGTGCTGTTGACAATGTACACCTTGAGGTACACCTTGAACCTTCCTGGGGTCTATGCATTCTGAGGAAAATGTGACTGTTGTTCCTCTGATACTAAATTTGATTTAGACCTCATAACATTTGTAAAGTAAATACAGACTGGGTGACTGGTGTTGCCATTCAGAGTACTTTGTCTGTCCTCCTTCTTTATTCTCTAAATCAGAAATGTCAAAGGGATGGCTTAAAGGAGGAGAATTAATAATATCTATAACTTTTCAGCCTCTTAGAAATGCCAGTAAAGAAACTTTTTTCTTACTTTTCTTTTGCTGAAAGGCAAGTGGATTCTCCATTTTTACTTGTAGAATTCTTATGTGCCTAACCACATAATACAGCAGTAAAAAACAACCTAAAAAAATGGAAAAGCCTGCATCATCAGCCTTTGTTACATAGATATACTGTCAGCATGTCTTTTTCAGTATTTTATGTAATGACAGAATTTTTTCACTGTTGTTATATAATGTTTGAAATATGGAGACTAGCCAAGGTCACTCCTTGATTGTGAAAGGCACCATCCTATCTGCCAGATGATTTAATAGCTAATGAGATCATATTCCTATGTCTTCAACTGTTGCCGTCATGATTTTGCAAAAATGAAGTATGAAGTCCTTTCTGCATCTGGCATCTCTTTTGATGTGGATCTAACTGCTGAGGGACTGAACTGAACTGAATGTTTCAAGAAAGCCAATTTACTCAGCTGGTTGCAGAGCCTTTGACCTCAATAGTGGAACTTGGCAAATCAATGAATACTCTTATGTTTAGTGTTCTGTCAAGAATTGTGAAAAAGCTCTGTAAACCATAGATCCTTCTGCAAAATACTAGTTTGTAGTTTAAACATTAGTCTTTCTTCAGAGGCCAATGAGGCTAGTTAATTAAGCCTGAGGGGTTATGAACTGTTGGCAGTTAATAAGTCATAAAATTCTTCCATAAAACAGGATGCTAGATTCCATCACTGAGGCAAGGAGTACAAAGAGCCGGTGTATAAATATCTAATTGTACAAAAGGACTGGGATTTCTCAATGACTGCTCATCTGGAGTCTCCAGGGCACGCTCGCTATGGTTTCCTGATTTTTAGAAGCCAGTTTAAAAAATGAGTGCATTAAAGAGTAATTTGCCTGAAAGTTCAGGAAGTATGGGGTGGTGAAGGGAGGGGGAAAGGAAAAGACAAAAGGAGGGCAAGGGAGAGGGAGAGAAACTGAGAGAGAGAGAGGAGGGGGGTGTAAAAGAAAGCAGAACTGAGCTCTCTACACTGAGTTGGACATTATTACATTTGTCATCTGTTTTCTTTCTCCTTTAGGATGTTCACCATGGCAACGGTACACAGCAGGCTTTTTATGCTGACCCCAGCATCCTGTATGTTTCCCTCCATCGCTATGATGAAGGCAACTTCTTCCCTGGCAGTGGAGCCCCAAATGAGGTTAGGTTTATTTCTTTAGAGTCCCATTTTTATTTGTATCTTTCAGGTAATTGCTTTGCATGATTACCCCTAATTTTCTTGTCCTTCTCTGGTTCTTTAAATTACACCAGATTACCAAATTGTCCACTGGGAGCAGGGGACCAGTAGAGAACAAGTGCATAACCCAGAGCAGTCCTTGTCAAACAAGGCTAGGCTGATCTGACATGTTGTTTGATGTTTGTTTCTAAAGCACATTTGAGAATTTTTTTCCCTTTCCCTCTCTCTTTTCCTCCTCCTTTTTCCTCTTTTTTCCCTCCTTTTAGTATTTTATTCCTATTTTTCAGGTTGGAAGTGGCCCTGGTGAAGGGTATAACATAAATATCGCTTGGACAGGTGGCTTGGACCCCCCTATGGGTGATGTTGAGTATCTCACAGCATTCAGGTTGGTACCTTTAAAAGTTTTGAAAACTAGTTGTAGAGCATAAGCACATGAATAAGAGCTAATGTAATACTGAAAGTAAGGAGAATGACCTATGGTGAAATGAACTTAATTCTGGTATCCCAGGATATGAGAGTTTAGTAAATAATAATAAAGGATAATTTAATTGTTGTGATCATCCATGCAGAATTAACAAAATAATTTCTAGTTACTAATTGGTCACTGTTTTTTTCATTATTATACCATGCCAGTAAAAACGACTACCTATAACATTTGAATTCAAGTATTTACACCTGGCAGAAGAAAATTGCTGTTCACATTCACATTGATTGCAGTTACATGCCAGCAGAGCAGATAGAAAGTAATGTGAAGTATGGCCCAAATCCAGTGTCTCTCATTCACTTAAAAGACTCATTGTGATGCTCACAGATTTGAGCATTAGCTTTTTCTGTGAATTGTAGTAAAGTGTTATTTACCTAAAAGTAAATAATTGTGAAATATCACAGTAAGAATGATAGGAAATGTTGCATGCTGTACTTCTCTTCACTTTCAGTAGCTAATTCTAAATGAAATTTTATCCTTTCATAGGTGATGCATCATAATATTTAGTGTTATTTTCATGGGACCAGAGAAGAGAAAACTGGTTTAAAACACAGTCTTTTAGAGTTTCAGTAGTCCTGTCTTACATACACCATTTCCTTTCATTGTAATGCAGTTTAATGGAAGGATTTAGTGAGCAACTCACCTTTCGAGACTGGGCAAATGCTACATATTTGTAAGGAGGTTTTCATTTAGTAGAAAATGGTATGCAGGAAAGACAATGAGACAACCAACATGTATCTCCAATCTCTTTAAGATATTTAGTTTAAAGTAGTGCATTTATCATAATATCTCACTGTTATTGTGGAAAAGGTTCTAATTGTATTTCCATTTGCCTGTATTTAAAAAAGAGTCTAAACAAATAGTAAGTGGCAGGCTCCAAATTTCCTACACTTCAGTATTGCCTCAAGCTCTTTCCAGGATACATCTTATTCTTTGATGAGATTTTCATATAGGTTAAGGAACTGGATGGTTCAAATAACTGGTATTAGTGTCTGATATTAATATATTTGGTATTTCCACCCCAACATTCTTGATTTGGATCCAAACTGTTCCACTAATGATAGAAGTAACGCGGCCATCTATTGATGCAGAGAATGGTGGTTGCAGCTTATTCAACAGAAGACTCACATAACTTGAACTGTAACCATAATTGGTACCACTGCTATCCTGATGACAAATACATGGGCTTAATAGTCCATTTACAAAAACAAACTTCACAGTTCTGTTTTAAGGCACACTACTAAATAGTTTGGAGCAGCTAATATTGCTGCTATGCCTATTGCTCCAGAATTAGAGGGAATTTCAATCTCTATGCCTAAGCAAAGCAGCACTATTTCTGTGAAATACGGAAAATAAAATTCATGTAAGCTACTACACACTGACTAACCATGTGCAGACATACACTTAATTATAATTGTTATAATTTTAAGTCACATAAATTCAAAATAAAGCTTAGGATTTCCCTTTAATAAATTGCTGATGGTGAAAAATGTAATGCTGCTATTTTAAATGCATCCATTTAACTTTGTAATTAATGTGAAAATTACACATTGGATTAAATAGGTAATTGCCTTTTTTTTAAAAAAGAATTAGAATATCCTTACTTGATTACAATAGATACTGCTGTTTTCTTTTTCTCCAAACAAGTATCAGCAACAGGAAATGTTTCCTTACCTCTCAGCCCCTTTTGTGCCCTCTGTAGGGCTTATTGATATGGATTAGTATGACTGGTATGATGGTTTTGAGTGGGGATCAATGAAGCAAACAGCATGGAAATTTGAAGGGTGAATACAAAAATTTGTGAAGTATGTTGGATAGACCAGTAGCTATTTTCTATGCATCTAGTCTGAATGGTAGGTAAATTTACAACTCCTCGTAGACATCTTATCCGTGGACCAGAATCTATCCCTGCTACTATCCAAAGTGTCACACATAATGTAGCCTGAGTTCTCAGTTTGACCAGAACAGAATTGTGAGACAGTAGTCAGGCAAGAGAGGTCCATAGTTTATCCTTTAGCCATAGATAGAAAGGAAGGTACAGTCTTGGAGAAAATGAACAGAAGAGTTGGTAAAATATCCCAGCAAGTCAGCTGTTGTTCTGGAATTTTAGCCTGCAATCAGTTTTTAAGAAAATAAGTGGGTTTCGTAGAAAGGAGAATATTGGTTTTTTATTAAATTACTTTGTTTTATAGACAGACTTACAGACAAGATCTGAACTAAGGGGTGGAGAAAAGGTTGAACATCTCCAATTTTAAGAGAAAAATCAGGGACTTCATACCTACTCTCCAGTACACAGAGAGGTTACTCAGTATTTAGTCCCTAATGAAGGCAGGAGTGGGTGTTGGTGAAGGTCCTCTCCCTTGTAACCAAGGTGTAAGTTTGCAGATGGGTGGAGCCTGTTTGGAGAGAAGCCAAGGCTTTCTGCTTATGGGCGGCCTCCAGAGTATAATCCTTTGAGTTCTTAGGAACTGAGAAATTTGCATTAAAATAATCTAAAAATCCCTAGGAGGTGCACTTAACTTTCACCTTCTCACCAGCAGAGCCCTTATTTCATCCCAGAATTGCACCCAGCACATATTTGAAGTGTCACCAGCCTTGACACTAGGTAACTTGTTACTGCTTGATTGACTGTCAAATTTCACAGCAGAAATCCTTCTGAATGATAATGTCCACAGAAAAAGAGACCAAAGCTTTTTTTCTGTCTCTAGAGTTCAACTCATAATCAGGTATTATGTATGACAATGTGTTTGATATCAAGAATATTGTTCTTAGACCAGAATATATTTGTAGAAGAGTGTAAGCATTTACACATCTACATATATATACATGCAGGTAGCGGAATATTAGTTATTTTCCACTGCATAAATCACTAGATAAATCTATTTTCAGTAAATCCTTTTAGGACTGAATAATATTCAGCATCACTCTTCCTTCAAACTGTTCGAGAAAGTATTTCTATTTCTTCAGGAAAAAAACAACTTTCAGTGTAAAAAAATGAAGAAAATGTGAAGGCATAATACAGAGTAGTCACTTCAAAGGCACACTGAGTGAGTGGCTGCACTGGGACTATCGTGGAGAATAGCAAAAATAGTGGTGCTGGTTTGTGTCTGCCATTTTGATTTCAGTGCTACATGAAGAGTTTATTGTATTTTTGAACTAACTCTATGGAAAAATGAAATGTAAATGGCTGTAGCCAATTTTAAGATGAAGACTGCTCATTCATTTATAAAAGAATATGTTTTAATTTCTCTTCCATTTCTACTAAGAAGATGAGTTTGCTCATGTTAACTACAAGGAGGTAGTAGAAAATGTAGGAGGGAGAAGTTTCTGCATAATAGAAAGTAAGTGCAGTAATCAAATCACTATGCCATTTAATTCTGCTAGAAAAGTGTTGTTTGATGTTTACCATAGTTAAGCAATTGGTATAGCTATGGAAATCCTTGAAATAATGACATTTTTCTAAAGGGCAGGCATCTCTTTTCTCCTAAGATAACAAAAAGGCACAGCTCTTTCGCATTACTTTCAAGGCCTGGAGTATTCCTCTAGAGAGTTTGTTTCATCATTTACTTCCACCTATTCAGGTTAAATTTGCTTTAATCTTTTTGAAAGCAATAGGAGGTGATGGCTATTTTCTAAGAGGATGATTTTACACTCAAGTTTATGAGGATGTAATCTGCTCTCTTCTGCCAACAGTTATAGAAAAAATAAGAGCAATGGGTGACTAGTAATGTTCAAATAATTATTTTCATGAGCTCCACATTATACCAGATGTACTCAGTAAAATAGGCAGCAGACAGAGGCTCAGGTCTGTTTTGTACGTGCACATGTGTCTATGTGTGTACTTGGAGTTTACAGAGGGCAGGAGAGCTGTGTTTCCATAGAGTAGAATATAGAAGATACAGGAGGCAGTGGAAACAAATGTGAGTGTTGAGAAGAGTGAGGGAGAAGCAAAAGAGAGAAGGAAACTGGAGTGTGCCTTCCAACCACTTTGCACTGCTTTTATTCAACAAAGGAGTTGTAAATTTTGCTTAACCAGCCAGTATGCTCTGGCTGCTTTGCACTACTCCAGAGTAGCATAAAACATCCACAGCATATCAGTGAACATGGCCATAGGAGCTTGCATAAAATGAAACATATATGTGTGTGTGATTCTTGGAATGATTAGAAACACTGTATGATAATATTATTTTTTAGCAGTTACGTGTTTGATTTTAATTTAAGAGGATGAGCAAATTAAAAAGAAATAGGTGCCATTAAGGCAGAGTTAAAGATTAACTATATCTACGATTTAATTTAAAATATAGCACAACATTTGTAATTACCTGCAAATATAATTTTAAACAAAGTTCAAAATTAAAATCATACTTGAAACCACATGTGTTAAAATGTAAAAATGAAAGAAAATTAAGGTGTGCAGAAAATCTTCACCCTGTCTTGCAGTTCTCAGTGTTTGGTTTGGGAGAGAATAAATATATTTAAAACTGTTTGTATTCTAATGTCTCAAAAATATTAACAAAAATATTCATTGTCATCTTAGGGCCATATAGGGCATAGTTAGGGTTATTTGAGAGACTGCATTGATGTATATCAACCCTTCTTTTTTCCTTAGTTTTGTATTTCTGGATCTGGTGACATTTAATTTTGACACTTCAAATTAAAAACTTTGTAAATGTACTTTTGTTGTTTTCAAATACATTGCCTTTGTTAACTTTGTTTCAGCATAGATACTGACTAATTTTTCTTTACCATTTAAGTTACACTTTAATACCCTAAGAAGAACACTACATTTCTATATTTTTCTTACGTGTTTTCATTTAAGTTTGCATAGCTAGCCTATATTTTTATATATTAAATTAATTTTCTTGTAAATTCTACTTTTATAACTTTTTGTTCAGTGAGGA